GCTCAAAGCCGCACGCTTGTGGTGTCACGTTGGCTCACAAGGCGCTGGGGAAACGCACAAAATACCATGAACACACCACAACCCACGTCCATGTGACGGAGAAAAATGACCTGTGAGAGGACAAGGTTCACGCTAACCTTTGATATCTGGGTGTGGTACTTTCCAGTCTTGCCAGTTCATCTAGCAGGCCAGGAGACATACCCCGCCCGACCTCAAGGCGCTGCATAGCTCGTCCTTAGCTCAAGGGCTTGCACGGGCTCCTGGCAACCAATCCCCCCCCCTTTCCGGTATAATATCAAGTAACCCGCGAGTGGTTTGGATTGGTGGTTTGGATTTGGATTTGGACCCCTAGTTCTTGTTAAGGGAAAATAGGGTTGACCACCCCGGGAATCCCCCCAGCCAGGCCAACCCCTCCCGATCCATTTCTGGCACGCACCTAAAACCACCCTGATTTTGTAAAGAGGTCTGTCCAACCCCCCTCCCCACGAAAAAGAAGAAGAAGAGGAAAACACACCAAAATCAAGACAAATTACAAGGGCTATCGCCAGCATTTCTGCCAATACCAATTCCCTTGTTGGTCTTAAGGGCTGCTTTTCTCAAACCCGAAGCCAGCAGCTAGCCGGAAATGGCACAGTTTTTACTAAGAGTTCTCCAAAAAGTCCATGTTTGACAAGCTCGCAATAAGCAAGGCCATCCCCTGTGACTGATCTTGGCACTCTCCAGCAAAAAAAAGAAAAGAAAAAGAAGCAAACATCGGAGGACTGAAGACTTGCTCAGTGTTTTGCTTTGAGTTGGAGAAACTTGAGGAATCTGTGCCAAGGCTCCACTTGCTTTCGCTCCTCCGTGGACGCCTCTTCTATGGTCATACGCCGTGCCTGGCATCTCTCAACTCAGTTGGGCAAGGTTGTGAATGGAGACCCTCTCTCCCAAAGGGTACCTGGAAGATCAATTGCTCCTGAAGGGGCCCTCTATGAGGTGCATGTTGGTTGGAGGGAAGGTAGTTCCCGCAGCAGGGGCCTTCACAATTAGTAATCAGGTAATTGACCATAGCTCCGTTTGCCATAGACAAGGTGCCGGCGCCTGTATGGACCCGAGCTACTATGCGACCTCCAGATCACACGGTTACTCCAAGCCTAGGTGTTGACACGTTCGTGTCTGCGTGCTTAAATTGCATATCAGCTTTGCCCTTCTTTATGTTAGACAGTGTTCTGTTTTGTCAGCCGCAACATGAGCAACAAGCACAGCGACGTAAGCAAATGCTCTATGGGACAAAGCTGAATCTCAGCTCAGTCCATCACCTGCCCCAAAACATAATCACTCATGCCCAACCCCCCCCCCGCAGAAACCTGAGAAACCAAACATGTCGTAGCACCATCCCACTCAATGACGTGATCCGCAAGACAATGAAGCTTATCACCCAGCCCCACCCCCGCGTACCCTTAAGAACAAACCATGTCATAGCCAGGCACCAAAATTCAGGCGTCGTCCGCATCACAGCACCGAAAAGGATCTACCCTAGCTGCTTGAAGCACATAAACGACTCGCAATGTTCCTTTCGGTCCTTAGTAGTGCCTGTAGCATAAACAAGAATCCTAAGCGGGCAATAGCAAGTTAAGACTCATTGAGCTGCATGAGATAGAAGAGGGCCGTCATACTTCAAAGAATCCGATTGCACAGACACGGCACAAAGCCATGCATCCGCAAGTCGGATAGATAGCCTTGGGCAACCAAGGCCAAACAGCTTTGCAGTGATAGCTTTAACTCCTTGCACACGGGTGAAGTGAGTTTTGGGACCTCTCTCTCGTGTTTTGCTTGGCTGGAGTACCTGCCAACAAAACAGGTCAACTTCCGGCCCTTGCGATTCGCTGCGTCCAGCTTTTGCTCACACTCCTGCACATTACGGCCTCCGCAGCGGCGATGAGGCCCCGCCGCACGGAACGGCTGCAGCGTGCCAAGGAGTACCTGCGTCGAGCCAAGGGCTGCCTCCGTCCCCCTGTCGCACTGAAAGGGAAGCTTGCCTGCTTGAAACAGCAAGAGCGCCACATGCGTCAACGAAACATGCACAGACATGCATCCAACTGCATCAAACTGCGTCAAACGCGGGCGCACAGCTCTGGAGTAACAAGCTTGCGGGTCCTCTTGTCTTTTGGCAAGCCTCCTGCAAGGACGATTCAGGCCACAAATCTTGGCACCAGGGCAATGCGCTGCATCAAGACATGCCACTAGATCGCAACATTCGCACAAATTTGTCCTCCAAAGAGCAAGTGGATGTACTCGACTTTGGAAAAGTGCTGCACCTATCTGTGCCAAGAAGCAAGAAGCAACCCTCATTGCGACGCCCACAGTCCCCCCTGGCCCCCTGGCCCGAGCCCGGTGGCGTACGGCAGCAGAAGCAAGTTGCACTCAGCTCAGCAATGTTGGAAGCGCAGTTCCGTAACGGCGGAGGAAAAAAAAACCAAAAAACAAATGCAACCCAGGCCGTATAGAGAATTTGCCTTGGCCTTCCAGGCCTTCGAACTCCGAACCCCAACCCCCCAACTCGTGACATGAGCGATCGAGAAGAAGCCGCCCTGCTTTGCCACAGAAGTTTCGGGCCTCCACGTCCCACAGCATACTCGCCAGCCGGCCTCCAAAGTCCTGAGGTGCGTTACCAAGGGTTTAAACGGGTGCATTCATAAAGGCACGAGCAAGAAGAGCGAGTCATCGAACTGCTGCGTTGTCACTGGCTGCCACCGCTCACTTGAGACATTCTTACGACCTTCCAATCCCGAGCTAACTAGCGTGTGCCCTGCCGGCCGACAATATGCCAGCGTATTCCCTGGAAGTGAATGGCACTGCCTGGATATGGTGCGCAGGGCCCGATGGAAAATTCATGCTGGCACAGACCACTAGTGGGTCGTTCGCCTGTTACCCAACGCTCATGACCTTCTCATGTGCGCCACTCATCCGCCCCGTTTCCGGCGGGTGCTCGTGCAGCCATGCTTCAGGCAGCGCTTCTACGGCATCTAGCGCCAGCAGCCTCCGCAACTCCTTCGCCTCATCCTGCGCACATCGCCGGTGGCCGGCACTTCCATGGGGTACGTCATATACGCCACAAACAGGACAGATTCTGAAGAGTCGGCACTTCCTGTTGACTGAGAGCCGAAGATCACCCAAATCGAAAACAAGCGCGAAGGGAAAAACAAACAAACAAACAAACAAACAAACAAACAAGATACTTGAAGGTCATGGCCATCAAACTCAAGACTCCGCCAAGCTGCAAATTGCTATGGATCCTGCTAATCAAATCCCAAACAAAACCGTGTCTCAAATGCCCCAAAGCCAATACCGCATACCAGGTCATCGTCTGAGGCCGTGCCTCCTCAAGTACCGAATTGAAACATCGCACTCCCCTCAAGTGAGCATGACCCAGTTGCTAATGAACACCTCAAGCGTGCGGCGTGCCTCCTGAGACAAGCGTCGCCTCTTGCAAGGCTGGCTGGCCATGTCCTCAGAGTTATCTCGAGCCAATTTTGCCGCGCAGCGACGCTCGCGCACTTGTCTTGTAAGTGACAAGCTTGTGACTGCCGGAGTTAAGATCAAATGGTTGGAGTTGGAGGTGCACTCTGAAGTCACAGGTGTGAGCAGAAAGCAATCATGCCAATCCAAATCCGTCTACGCAAGCAGTGTGCAAAGGTACTTCATCCTTTGCAAACACATGTCTCCCACACATCGGCCTTTCTTAAATGCGGCCTTTCTCAAATAAGGCGCACACCTCGATGCTGCAAAGGCTGCCGTTTGAACCTGAGTACCGGAGCGCAGCGGAATTCGTTGCAAATTATTCTCCTGCATACCTTTTCTGTGCGGGCACGCGAGCAATCTGCTCACAGGACACGTTCAAGGCTCAGAAACAAGTATGACACCGGCGAAACATCTTCCAGTATGTGGGTGTGTCATTTTTTGGTGGTGCCACTTGTTGGGTTGGTTTTTAGGGAAACCAAAAGGAAAGCCACCCTTTTTTTTTGGGGGGGGTACCCCTATTTCGAGACAAACCCATATGTTCAAAAACTTGCGACTCACGCACTGAGACCTGCTTTTCCCAACCTCCGTTTGCATCCGCAACGATGAGAAAAAACAAACAAGCGCGCACATACTGATCGCACAACGTCTGCACCACCGCACCACCAAACAATAAGAAAGTCCTGATTGTGCCAGGGTTCAATCTACAACGCTAGTTGCTTGGGTGCGCTGCACGCCTTCACCCGTCAAAGGTGGTGCGAGGGCGACTGTCGCTTGGCAGGTCGCTCTGCGTGATTCTTTGGGTGGCGCATCGACCCATCTCACAAGTCCCAGGGGCAGGGGCCACAGTAGTGCGGCCGCCCTCTGCCCTGCAATTTTGCTTGGGCCACGGACAAATCGCGCATCGCCAGCAAGATTGTCTATCATGGCATTGCATCAGTTGAGTTGCTCATGCGGAATGCCGCTTCCTCATGACGGGGGCAAAATCCCCCAACCCTGCATCGGAGTCACAACCCTTTGCACGCGCTGCGCCCTTTTCGCTTTCTGGCGACAAAAAGGGCCTCCGGTGGTCCCTCTCAGCTGCATCTGTCCGAACGTGACGAAAAACACTGCATAGTCCAAAAGCACAAGCCAACCTCTTGTCCGTACATTCTTCACAAGCATGCAGCTCCAGAGGCTGCACAACGACCGGCTACCCTATGGGTGACGCTGTTGCGCCAACCACAAAATTGCCAGAGGCTCATGCCCAGGCTCTTTCCTTCGTGTCTGCCTTCACGATGTGTGCAACTTGATGCCAGGGCACAAAATGAATGACAACTTGCAGTTCCGGTCTCAACACACTGGAGCCGGCACAGAGCTCTCGCTGTGGCGGAGACGGACATTTGCCGCCAAAGGGCTCAACAATGAGCGCGAGGAAGATGCAATCGCGCTTGGACAGGCTCAGGGTTTCACTTGAAGCAGCCCTGTAAAAGATGATGTGTGGATACTAAAACCGTCAATTCGCGCAGCCCAAGGTCCAAAGATTTAGCGAAACCCGGCCTGTGAATGCGTTGCATGCTGCTCTGCCGGATCTGCCAGCGTGGCACGTGCTGGAAAGTCTGTGGTTTGACAGGGCCTCAGGCCGCCAGTCACCTGGTCAGGTGAGGCACTCGGGCTGTGGCAAGACATGCTGCATGTATGGAAGGAAGCTACCTGGGCTGAAACCACGAAGCAAGCCTGGCATGTTTATGTCCTGACATAAGACCTGGAGCCACATTTGCCTCCGCAAGAAACCGCGGTTCGAAGTTCGAACACATCCCTCCAACCTCTTTGCCAAGGACCCACCAGCACTTCCCACCATGGACCCCGCAGTGTGCTTCGACCACCTGGGCCGAGCTCAAACGCCCCTGGATTTCGCAGTTCTTTACCTGCCGACAACCGACACCAGTGGGGAAACTGGCGAAACCGACCCAGTTGCATCCCCAAGAGGCTGACCAACCTCCAGCGAGAACATACTTGATAAACACCGTCACTTCAAACATCCCCCAAACTTGTTTGCCACAGAAAACGTAGCCGGCATAAGAAGCAGGAATAGCAAGAGCACGACTGCGAGTGAGAGCAAACACAGTGGCGACAATAAGAATGACAGCAGCACATGCCAATGCAATTATATAGTTGTTGTGCCTGGAACTGCCTGACAAAGGGATCGAACCTTATTCTAGTGTAGGATTATAAACATGATTCCAACATATTTGCTTTATTTTACAGCTTCTTGCTGTCATTCGTGAAGCTGAGACCGCAGCTTGTTCTCAAAGACCACCTTCTTGTCGCCAGAGCTGATGGCTTTCTTCCTTGGGCATGGCGGAATATGGCGGACAATTGCCTCGCCTCAAAGCCTGTTGTGGCAAACTGGACAAAGGCTCATCTCGACCCGACCGTCGCGAGGAATTTGGACACGTGGGTGGTTCATTTCACCAAAAGCAGAGCGGCTGCGGAAATCACCAGGTGGTGTTGGCCTTCCGCCGTGCGAATCAAGTCTCGTATGGATCCTGGTCTTGTTGCTGATGCAGACCTTGTCGGCCTCTTCCTTCGTCATCTTCTTGATGCCTAGCGTTGGCGCATACAGTGCGCATGCATGAGATATTTTGATCAGCCCTTGGCATGGGCCGAAGCATGTCATAAATTGGGGTCTTGCTTGCCAACTCCGGCGGCGCTCTTGTGCTTTGAAGTGCCGAAGCTGGCTGGCTGCCCCAGCCAAGGGATCTGCAAAAACTGCTGATTGCGCATGGTAAGGGTGCGAAACACTTTGAGAATTGCCAAGCTATCAAACATGGCTGATTGCAGCATGTTTCAGCAGCATTGCTCCCATGCCCTGCACCTACCACCCTGGCTTCATGCGTAATTTTGGAGCTTTGGAGGGTTCTTTGGCTTCAGCCGGCGGGGATTCAGCTGAACGCATTCAAGGACTAGCCATGACAGGCAGGTTGGCCTGTACCGCACCGAAAAAGAAAGAACAACAAAAACAACAAGATATAGATTCAGACATTCGGTCCAGGTGCATCAAGTCATCCATGCACCATGTGTTATTATTTTTTCTGTCCCTTCAAGCCTTCCACTCCTTCAGAAGCAAGACTTCAAGCCCTTTGATCACATCCCCAAGCCCAAGATGCACAACCCGCTTCTCCCCGCCTAGGCCGCGCCGACCTTGCTTGGTGCGCCAGCCGATGATGCCGCCCAGCTCGCAGCCAGGACCCGGGTCAAGAGAGACATCCACCTGCTGCGCTGATGGAGAAAGCGGCGATTTTCTCAGGAAATGAACCCTAAACCCCAAACCCCAAACCCTAAACAGCTCTGTCAGTTCAACAATTCCATGCCCTGCAAGAAGGTACATGACCTGTGATTTTCAGAAGCTAAATAATTACCTGGCCAAACTTGTAGGCATGGCATCATCAGCCTACAGGATTTTCGGCCGTTCACTGCAGCCCTTTCCTGCCAGCGCGAGGTAAAACCACGCGGATTCAGCTCATTAACCCAAGATTGGCAAACAGATTCCACGGATCGGAGCGACAATGGCGCTGCACGGGCTTGATTTTCTTGAGCCCTCATTCTTTGTGACAACACATGTGTAAACACAGTGAAGGCTACAGGCGGCCGGATTGGCTGCTTGCAGTCAACTCCTTTAAGCTCGTCCTTCAAGCCAGCCTTGATGAACCTCTCGCCCTTCCTGGTGACAACCTGGGCGTGGGCCATCAAACAGCTTCCAGCTTTGCCAGGTCAAAATCCAAATCGTACCCCCAGTGAACATCCCAATCCAACCACTAAAACAGGTTCCAAAATGGGTGGTGCTCCTACCCCAAAATGGTATCATACGGTATCATTGGTTTTGACCCACAGCCTAATATATTCAGAAATGGGCTGATGCTCAGCGGGCGGCACTGTTGTCGCGGTACCTCTCCTGCTGGCCTTTGCGGTCTGCAAGCTGCTGGATGCTCTTGTGGATGTGCTTCCTGGCGGCACCCGAAGCCCGAAGCTCTGTACCCCCTCAGCCTAGTCTAAGAGCCAGGTTGCCTCAACCTGCAGGCCTCTGCGAATAGCCCTGGTGTTGAAAATGGGTGCGGATTTACTTCGGGATTTTCAATTTGTCCTCCCTTTTTTTCTGTTGACAATGGCCACCTGCGCTTGTCTCCGTCTTGGCCGTCCACCTAGCTTGCCTGACTAGGTCCTCCATTATACAGCTTAGAATAAAGATTCCCCTTTTTTCCGTAGTCTATAGTAGGGGAACCCTACCCGAAAAAAAAGCAAAAGGGCACCACTGGGGGACCTGGCTGCTGAAATGCATGTTGCCGCCCTTCGGCGCTGCATTGCTGCATGCTTAAGCCGAGGCTCTTGGAGACTCGCTCCTCCTGCCGCTGGATGGCGTACCTGTCGGCCAAACTGCCCAACGGAACTCAGCACATAGCACGAAATAGCAGGAAGACGCCAAGAAATGGATGTACGTGATTGAGATAACGTTGTTTGGCATTGCTAAAAGGGAAACCAAGTGGAAAACAGAGGCAACCATAGAACCCCAAATGCAGGTCAAAGAAGCTGGCCTCTCAAACAGATCCCGCTTCTCATCTGAAGAGAGCCGCTGCAGCTGAGATCCTCGCAAGTGCACTCATTGGCACAAAATGACTACCGTCAAATCGGTGCAACAATTCGGCCAAGATGCGTGCAGGCAAGGGAGCCGATGCGGCAGGTCTCCGGGGCGATTCGGACTCTTCACCCTCACACCTGGCAAAATGAAAGGATCTAGACGTAAGTAAGCCATGACAACCTAGGTCTTCCATTGATTAGGGCTCTGGGCCTTTTTGTGCTCGAGATTCTGGGAAAATATATAAAAATTGCCCAGCAAAAACCTAGGAATGAGTGACCGCGTGCGAAAGTGCATGCATTATTTCCCGGATTCCGATTGTCATGATTGACAGCGATTGACGCCAAGGCGGGGGGAAAAGGAGAAAGAAAAACCAAACTGGAAGATGGGTGGCCCGAAAGCATCGGCCGTGCGCGTCGGCAAGTTCCCTCCGCATGTTCCTCTGAGCAAGTTGCTGGTGCGAGTTCCTCTGAGCAAGTTGTTGGCACAAGCTCTCTCGGCTCGGTTTCCCTGAGCGAGTTTCTACGAGCAAGTTCTCTGAGCAAGTTTTGTGCGCGCAGCGGTGGCCACAACACATTCAACATAAGCACAACTGTTGATCCGGATGCGGTGCACTTCGTAGATGAAGTTGGGATCTTCCAGCCGAAGCCTTCTGAAAGTGTACTTAGCGCACTACTTTCGCGCTGACAAAGCTTCCGCTTTGCCGCTGGAGCTCAGCAATGCATTTCCCTTCCTACTTTCGTGGTTCAACTTGTACTTATGGCCGGATCCGCGGAAGCGTACTTTGCGTTCCACGTTCGTACTTAAAAGTTGCGATTTTCCCGCCGGGGCTGAACACGGTGTAAATAAATAACGATGCGCTAATGATAAAGATAAGGATAAACAGAATGAGAAGCGCCCGGCACGCGAAGAGTACGCAGAACAGCCAAGACACATGACATGGCGTCAAGCAAAACCGCTAGCGCAGGTTCGCGCATTCTCCTGTGCACAACTGCCGGTACGCCAACCCGCCACTTCCACTTCCGCTTCCACCGCGGCGTTAGACGGCCACAGCTAGCAATGCACGAAGAACGCCTTGACTTCTGTGTGATAGACGGGCCTCTCACCCATCATGGCACAGTTGAAGTTCAAGCCCAGGCCCATGAAGTCGATGTGTGTCACGTGAGTGGCCTCAGAACATCAGACCGGAACACATGTGTGCTTTCCAGCATTCCTTGAGATCATGCTGAACGGCCGCAAGCAGAATAAATCTGCATTTCCCCTGCTTCCTTCATGTCCATTCCCCGCTCAAGGCTGAATGCAGGAACCTGAGGACATGGCACTACTTTCCAACTCGACAAGCGTTCAAAATACCGCACGGCCGGCTCAGGCACCCAAGGCCCAAGCCGCACAATCATCACACACTGCCACAAACACGTCCTGGCTCGCAAAGGTAGGCAATGTAGGCAGCAGCTGATTCTTGACAAAATCAAGTACGCAGGCCCACATAGCGCTGGCCTGCCCATTGCTGCTAAACGAACTTTGTTTGCTTTCTGGACTTGAGTCCACATCAGGCTCCAAGCAAGCCTGCCCCGTGGAAGCGCAGAATGGCTCACCTCTCCCCCTCCCAGCAGAACAGGTCCACATCCAGAACGCCCAGCGCCGCTTTCCCTCGCTCCCTGCACTCCTCCTCCTCGGGCGCCGGCTCCGCCGGCTCCGCCGGCTCCGGCTCCGTCGGCTCCGGTTCCGCGGCTTCAGGGCTGCAGGAGCCACCCAGATCCTCGCAGCAGAAGTCCCCCAGCGCGCCTCGAGGCGTGTATGTTACGGGGGCTGGGGGGGAGGGAGGGGGAGAGCCCAAAAAAAACCTTATTCAGGCCCTTTTTAGAGCTTATTTGGGCTCCCTCCCCCTCCCCCCCTTCCCCCAGCCCCCATGAGTATGGCGCAAGGCATCCTGATTTCGTGCTTCAATGTTTTTGAAGGGACCACACAGGGCAAGGCACCTGTGCTTGGTGCTGTTGAATTCTTTGTTGCGGGAGTGTCGTTGTTCGGGTGGACCATTCGGCTCTTGCCCCTGAACTAACTTATCAAACAACTATACAATGGAAGGCCGTAGTAAGACTGCGGCAAAACTACCGGAAGGCTGCAAGACTGCCGGAAGACTGCGACACTGTCAGGAAAGACTAAGGGAAGGCTAGAGGAACACTACAAAACTACGGAAAGCTTGCGGGATCATGGGAATGCTGAAAGACGGCGGAAAAACCTACACCACCCTCAAGTTTAGGACAGAAATGAGAGACCTGGGCCTCGTTGAGGAGCCATTGGTCGTGCGAGAAACTGAAACTCTGAGAGAGAGGGAGGGGGAGCTGCACTCAAGCAACACCTTGAACCCTGAAGAACACAAAGTTGCCAAACGCTGACTTCTGCAAGAATACGTGCTGGCGGCAGCCAGGGATTCGCCATGTAGGGTGTAGGGATTACTGCTGCCACTATCTGAAGTGTTGCTGTGCTAAAAAATCAGCAGAAATGCTGCAAGAATGCTGACTGAGGTCATCTGCCTAGTATGAGCCTGACTGAGCAACAGGCAAGGTCTCGATTTACAGGACTGTGACTGGACCACTTTGAAGATGTAAATGCCCGAATCAAGCAGCGCACAAAGACCTGCGCTGTACATGAATGTCTTGCTTTACATTGGGCAGACTGCTGGAGGCCAATGCGCAGCATGATGCAACAAGCCATCCACACCTCTGCGCCAGGCATGCAAACTGCAGGTGGCTTGCGCTTGCCAGTTTTGCCAAGAGGCTTGCATCCACGTTCCTCGGCCGATCCATCCAAACACATGCTTGGCTGTGCTGGGTTAGCTTCCCAGAATGGTGGGCCAGCGCGCACTTCATACGCGGCGAGGATTCAGTCGAACAATAGTTCGCCGCACTTTTCCTGGCTTCTGACTCCGAGCGCAGCTCTCTTGACTGCAGGGATAAGACCGTTTCCAACTTTCCGGGCAAAAGGAAAGTTCAGGCCACCTGAAAATCTACGACCACCCGGTACTGCCTTTCGGCAATGGTGCGACGATTGGCAGCGGCAGCCCGCAGCACGCTGCAAGGCCGGCCAAGCGCTTGACACACCGACTGGATTGTGCGCTGCGTGCGTTCGCAGTTGGGAAGCTCCCAGTCCGCTGCAAAGTCATACCAGTGGCAGACTCCTCCAGGCGACCTGGGACGACTAGAAAGAACTGACACGACTGAGAGTCACAACAGCAACATTCGCTCCCACATCTCCCTCCAAGGTGGTACCTCCAAGCATATCTGAGATCTGCAACACGGCTGGCCTTTTGAGCTCAAGGAAAATCTGCCCATCCATAATTAGACTTCTTTCTCTTGCTGGTGCTCAGTAGGGAATGAGGGAATGAACCCAGGAATTGGTCCCGTATCTCTCGCACCAGCAAGTTTAGTTCTGTCCCATACCAATTTTGACCCATACCCAAATCCAAAAAACCTTATCATGCCCATTCCCTTCAGTGCAATTCCCGGCTGTTTAGTCTTGGAATGACCCTGAGAACAGTCCGATCCCCGACTTGGTTCCCTTTCTTCGGGAATCCCAGCAAGTTGGCTGTGGGTCAAAGCCCTGTACCCCTGGTGAACATCAACATAGGTGGCAAGTGGATGTGCATCCACCCCAAAATGGGATCGCCATAGGTTATGCAACCCATGGCCATTTCTTTCCCAGCGGCAGTAGGGGGACTAAGACCTCCAGGAACTCCACGCCGGCGTCGCCCTGCTCCAGGTCGCCATCCCCGGGGCTCTTGGGTCGCGGCGCCAAGATCCGCGCGAAGTCGCGGGGCAGTGAGGCCGCCACTTGGCGCAGGTCGCCCTCACGCAGATCCAGCGCCCGGCAGTGGCCAAGCTGAAGGCTCCGCCGGAGGCACTGCACCTGACAGTTGCGAAGGTTGACCGGGAACAAACAACAACACAATCCGAGCTGAAAAGAGAGGGACACCCGGACACCCATCGGCAGGCGGCAGTTTGTCCCCTGCAAAAACATGCAAAAACGCCACGCCGGCAAAACGGAACCCCGCTCTACACGTTTCATCTCAGTCTCCAAGTATCGCGGGGCATCGTGAGATTTTTCCCCAACCCCCCAACAACCTCTGCCCTGCGAATTGCCAAGCCCGACGCCGAAAGCCGGGCGCGAAGCGGCGAAGCTTCGCCCCTTCGACCCCGTGGCCGCGCCGGCCGGCCGCGCCGCTTGGCCGGCCGCTTGGCCGAGGGGCCGCGGCGGGGTTCAGCTCCACGGCCGTCAGCTGCGCGGAGCTGTGGGCCAAGAGCTGCAGCGCCTCCGGGCCGCAGCCCGCGAAGGCCACCAGCACCTTCTCCCCGGGCTGCACCTCCGGCGCAGGGGGAGGTGGGGGGGGAAGGTTGGGGGGGGAGGTGGGGTTTGGGGGGAGGTGGAGGGGAGGTGGGGGGGGAAGGTTGGGGTGGGGAGGTGGTGGGGAAAAAAAAGGTGGGGGGGGAGAGGTGGGGGGGGAGGTGGGGGGGGAGAGGTGGGGGGGAACATGGGGCCAGGTGGGTGGTTTGGTCAGAAAAAAAGGCTCGGGGAACTTGCGGCCATGGGGTCAAAACCCGGTTATCCCCGAGTGAACATCATCCTTCAGACTCCTGTAGCATTGGTACTTCTCGCAGCCAGTGGCAAAAAGGTGACATAGAAGGGTCTGTCTTTGGTTAGGGGACCCCCCAAAATCATGTTTTTCCTCTTGGTTTCCCTTTTAAAACCACAAAGAAAGGGGCACCTTCAAAAGAAGGCCAGGTAGGCCCCAGGTAGGCCCAAACCCCCCCACCTGCTGGCACAAACGCTGGCGTTCTCCAGCCAAGCGCGGGGAGAAGAAACAGGCGTCGAGGTCCACCACCATGCGCACTCCGAATTCAATGTGGGTGGTCCTAGCCCCACACGACGCCAAAGAAATGGCAGTGGTTGTCAAAAACAGGCTAACCTCAAAATGGGTTGCCCGTTCAACCAAGACCCTGCTGTCTGTCATGAAAGTGAGAAATATAGAACAACATCCGTCATGCTAACCATGGCCAACCCTTTGCCTTTTCAGTTTTGGGTCGCTGAAAATGCATGGCCCTTCGTTGCTTCCCAAAAGTAACACCAAGGGTTGCACTCGTTTTCAGCCAGGCCCGCCCCTCAGTTCCACCCCACCCCAAAGCCCCGATCCCAGGCGAGCGGCATCAGCGGGGAGCGCTGCCTGCCAGCGATGATCTGCAGCGGCGCGGCGCGCAGCTCGGAGGCGAGCACTTTCCTCATGGCCACCACCTTGACGCGCCGCTCCTGCGGACTTTTCCCGGGGCCCCGGAACCCGAAGACTTGAATTTTCTCGTGAGCTGAAGGAGTCTTGCAACTAACGACCTCCAATCTCTTGGCATGGTTTATGGTTAAGGCGCTTGGTCAAACGTGGCTGAGACAGCTCAAATGCTCGACCTTCCGAATGCGCATGCTCAGAATACTCCGCCTTGCAAGGTGGCCAAAGCAATACACCATTACATCCGATCAAGTCACGTCTTGCCGAAAGCATACCTGATTAAAGTCCACTTGATCACCTGTCAGATAGCTTTACATGCAAGGCTGGCCTCGAAACGATTGAGCGCCACAACATGCCGCGCAAGGCAGTCCTGCTTCAGGATTGCATTGCCCAGGGCTGCATGGTCCTGTTCTTGCGGCCCCGGATTCACTATGGCAACGTCCCCCACAACATCGAAATGGCGTGGTTCCCTCTCTTCCTCCATGTGCTCAGCGGAGGGCGGCGGATCCTCCATCTGCCGCAAGGCAGCAGTGAAGCGGTCAATCTTTGCCCAGTTGCGGTGGTGGCGACTGTTTACCAGGCTCTGCAGCCAGTCATGTTGGTTCTTGAAAAGGTATCCCTGCGGGCCAGTGAGTGGCATATCCAAGCCCTCATCCCCCCAAATGGCAACAATCAGCTTGGAGGTGTCAAAGCCTTGCAGTCCCACATTCTTGAAGACACTGCGAGCGGCTGACATCAGCGCCCCGGCCGCCACTATGTCCCTACAGCACACGTGCAAAATAAAGGGCTCGAAGCGCAGCCAGTAGCCATCGTTCTCGTCCAACTGCTGCTCAGCCAACTCGGCGCGCTCTTGGCGCTGGTGCCTCTTCCAGGTAGGCCTGCACTGGTACCAGGACCACAGGCCACTGCAACAGCCTCCCAAGCTCGGCTTCGCCTGGCTGGCACCCTCCAGGGTCGCCAGGTCAAAATATGCAGCGGCGTCCTCCACCAGGTCGTGCGTCACACGCCAGCGGCTGAAGCACTCGGTACTCTTCACCCCATCCCCCCGCCAAACGAAGGCCCTCCCTGCGCAGGAGGAGGTGGTGAAGAATGCGGGCCGCTGATTCAGCTCTGCACAGACCTCCCGGGCCTTCTCGTCAATCTCACCCGCGCTCGACTTGTCGCATTTCGCCAGAAATGTCCGCTTCCGGTGCTCAAAGCCCTGTGCAGCTGCCATGGCGCGGATGAGGCGACCCCAGCATAATTATGTGCCAACACGCTGGCCTGCCAATGTTGAACTGTGACCACAAAACTGAAGTTGTCAATCACTTGAATGGCATGGTGGCATGCGGCATGCTTGTTGCTGAATCTTCAGACCTACAACTGCGCGTAAATCTGAAATTGGCAAACCAGGTTAAGCAGCTCAAGCCAAACTCGGCTTAGCCGATACATGCAGAGCACGCCGATTTCGATGAACGTCAATCTGAACGAAATCAAACACTTCCTGCAAACAAGCCTCAGCGAGTAGGCCATGCCACACAGGCAACAGTGCGCCTCGTGCCGGACCTCTTCGGCCTGACGGGTCTTTTGGAGGGCAAGGGAACCTGGGAGTTCCCCACAAGTGAGAAACGGAAATTGACGCCTTGATGAACCTACTTCAGTCAACTTGGAATGATGGCTATTTTAGGTGTCGCCGTGTGGCTTGATGGGGGCCCCTCAATGTCCTTCGCTCGCTATGTTCAATCTGCTGCGGCCTCTTCGACATCCTCCTCTCCTTCATCCTCCTCTCCTTCTGGTCCGGGCACTGCCACATGTTGGGTCGCCACGACCTCCTCGTCACTACCTGATGAGTGCATCAAGTCTGGATACATGCAACAGGCGCCGCGATGGGTGACAAGCACCCCAAATGACATGGTGCCAACATGCTTCCATGATTTTCTCAGAGGCACCATCCGATGCCATGGGCAGCGAATCCTGACAAGGCCGGGAACTGTTGAACAAATCAAAGGACAGGCACACAACCAACCACCCAAATGCAAATTGCCGTGGTTGCCTTGCTGAAAAACGACCGTCTCATCCCTTTCACAAGTTGAATTCCACTCCGCCGCAGTACGCTGTGTCCAAGACTCCTCGACTGGGTCTGAGACGTCCAGCTTCGCGTGGGCGTCGCTTCCACAGGCCTTGCCTCGTTTGCTGCTTGGCTTGCATTGCCATGATAGCGGTCAGCCGAAGCAATAGATCCGTTCTTTTTGACGATCTTCAAACAGTGGGGGCCACGCCCATCTTTCCCATCTGCGCAATGAAAAATGTTGGCCTCATTCTGGCAACCCAATTTGGACTCACTCGGTCCTCGCCAGGCGCGACAGGGCGGCGCCAGAGGTGTGGCCATCTGTGACGTGGCCAAAATTCAGGGAGGTTCATGATCTTCTGGCAGGACCAAGATGTGTTCCCAATGGTGGAGTGTTTTCGGCAGGAACTCTCTTTGATGTTCTGAGTCATTCATGAATTCTTTGTTGCCTCCATGGTCGCACGATGTCACACGTATCCAACCTGCCTATGTTTCACAATGCTAGCCAAAAGGGGGAGGAGGAGCGCTTCCATGCGCCATGAAAAGTTTTTGGGATGGCCGGGAAAATCAAAGCACAGTCCATCCCATGGCCTTGGGCGCAGCGCTCGCGCTCCTGGCAGTCGATTGGTAGCTTGGCTGTGCTCTTGATTGCTCACCAGGAGTCACATGGCCATGGGTCAAAAGCCAAATCGTACCAAGTGAACATCCCAAACCCCCACTAAAATAGGTTCTAGTATGGGTGGTGAATTCACCTACCAACCAAAATGGTACTATTGGTTTGGACCCACAGCCACATTAGATGCCCCCCGATCTGACAAACACAACTAGCACATAATCTCTGTGCAAATGGGTGCCGATTCAATCCCTCGGTCGCTCCTGTCTGGCCCAGAAATGTGAAGCACTCCCGTGGGTGCCGAATCAGCGTCCAGTTTCTCTGCCACCTCCGGTGCCTGGCTCATCGAAGGAGCCGGGGCCGCCGCACTCGTCTGGACCGGAGCCGCGCCCGGCTGCGCATCAGAGGTGTGGTCCTCATGGTGCGGTCTGCACAGCCACTCCCTTCAAACAATATCGCGTGACATGTTCCAACTCGCAAAGCAGCACATGCCCGAAAATCTTTTATATTCTCTTGTCTCAAAGCGTACCGTAGATTGACTGCCCTAGAGCCCCGTGACATTGCAAGCAAACTTGCCACCTCCTAGTTGCATCAGAAGCCTATGATTATTGGGATCTACTCTGACAAATCCAGTAACACCTGACACACGTCGCCAAGCCTGCCACTGCTTGAAACTAAGGAGTTTCAGGCTTTGATCGAAATTTGTCCATTCCCCATTGCCTTTTCACACCGCTTCCCCAAACTAGCTTTCCTCTGCCGGCGTGTCCGTCATGTGCTGGGCAGCGCTGAGCTGCTCCTCCTCACTCTCTGCCTCATCTGCCTCCAACCGTGCGCAAAGAGCGCCGGCAACAGAGATGTTGATTTGCTCGGTTGCCCAAGGGACCCAGAAATAAAAGGTCAACCTTTTGGCACCTCTACTGGAAATGGAGCAAAATGGGAGCACCAAAAGGTCAAGCTGCCGGCTTTGACGTCAAGCCGGTCAGGAAACAAATGGCACAACACCTCATGCAGCAGCTTCCAGCACCCAGCGCCAAAAGCACCCAGCACTTGCGTGCTCACAGCCGTGACACAACACTTCAGCCTAGATGCCACCATTGTGCCCCCGCACATGCGAGCTGTTCTGATGCGGGGCTTGCTGGAGCGCCGTGACCAATTCAAAAGATCACCCTGGCGCAGGAAGCTCTTATTTTTTTCTAAGAAGCAATCTGGCGGTGCGCACTTGGTGGTTTCCGCCCCATAAACAAACACAGCAAATCAACCTGTACCTATCGCCTGGTTCTGGGCCATGCCAGCTCTTGCTTCCTTCTCCCGGCCTGCCTTCGGCTCGCCTACCAAAGACTGTAGTCGCGGTGCCTGAGGAAACTCGCGAGGACGGCGGAACAAAGTGTGGCCGCTGCCGTCTTTTCCAGCATCGGGCTTGAGGCAATCCGTCAACCGTGATCCTTGTCTGGGAGCCCGATGACTTGCTTTCCCATTCATTGCAACCAACCCTTAAAACATCTTAAAACGCCAGGTGATCCTCCCAGAAGCTGCAAGCTGCCTTGTTCGGGAAGCTTCTGAAAGCCGCTTAGACTCTCTGCTGGTAACAAGATCGGCGCTCAGCCTCTGACTCACCTACCGCCCGTCGGCCAGACATGTACGTGATCCTCTCGACAAACGTGCTTTGTCCAGGGTCCAGAAGACAAGATCACCAAAAATAATGTGATTTGCAGAAGCAAAACGGTGCGAGAGGTACCCAGGCGCCGAGCAACTGACTGGGCCTCCACGCGTTGCAGCCCGGGTCCCAGGCGCCGAGCAACTAACTGGGCCTCCACGCGTTGCAGCCCGGGTTGGCTGAAGGAGCCTGGTCTGACACAAACAGCGCCACTCGGCTCAGCTCTGCCAACTTCCCGCTTCACTTCCCTGCAATCAGTCCAAAAAGGGTGTCATGCGGAAAACCCGCAAACCTCCAACATTATTTTTTGTTTTGGAGGGCCCCCAATAAGCCTCAGCGCATCCCTGAGATCATTTCGCGCTCCAGGCCTCAGCCGCAGCTTCAAGGGAGTTCCTTGGCCACGCAACTTGGTTGGGGCGGATTGAATAGCTTCTGCTTTAGGGAATGGATCTATCGCAGGAGCAGCTCTTGCAACTGGCACATCAACACGGCGAACATATATCCAGCACTGTCAGAGCGATGGTAAGCGGCCTGTGGGGGGAGGGCACAGTGGAACAGGGTGACTTTTGCACAACTGCTCTCTTGTTGAAAACATCACAGGACTACACGCGGCGGCTCGCAACTTGCTTCGTTCAAAAGGCTGCCCCACAGGGGGGGGTGCAATTCCAGTGTGTTGAAGGGCGTCATTGTTGAATGAAGTTGACCATTCATGGCAAGAATCCAGAAAACAAGTCGATGCAATGATGCAGGCATGCGGGAAGTGGCACATGCACCAACTGCAGCTGACTAGGGCGGTAGCCAGCCCATGTGCCGCGCTAGGGTGGGTGCAGCATCAAAAGGCCGCAAAAAGGAAACTGTGGCCCAGGGGCAAGGGCATCCACTCGGCTGGCTGGAAGCTCAATGCAGTTTTCAAACTGGCCTTTGACCCCATCCTATCCCATCCTTTCGAACCCTCCCACCGCCCTGCAGCAAAGGTCTTCACCAAACCGGAGCGAGTCTGACGCTCGATGGAGCCAGGCCACGGCTCCGGCAAGCCCTCCACATGGGCCGATAGGGCCTGGTCCATCTCCTTCCCACAGGACCGACTCTGTAGCAAAACCCTCGCAGAAGCACGTCTGCACCGTTCATTTCACTTGGTGCCGGCCTCTGCACCTGCAGCCTGCCATGAGCACAAAGAAAGAACAAAAGGCCGTCGGAGCTTGAATCAAGAGAAGCCGACCCGTTCTGTGGTCAAAACAGGTCAAAACCAAAAAAAGACTCTTCGGTGATACAACCAAAAGGGCCTAACCCCAAAGACTAACCCGCCACATCAAGGGAGAGATTCCCGAAGATATCACAGAAGTGGGGGAGAAACCCCTGCTCCGCCTTCGACTCATCTGCCCAGGACTCGCGGCATGGCGCCTGCAGAGGCGGTCCATGGCTTTCCTGAGGACTTGTTTGCCGCCAATCCCGTAGAACAACCATCTCACCTCTCACCTGAGTAGATTTGCATTAAGAACAAGTCCAAACTTGTTTACTGAAATGGTCTGTCTTCCCAAAAAGCTTGAATTCCATAAACTCAGGAAGTGAGCCATAGAGGCCTTCCCAAAATCCAGCCTGCACCCTGAAACACTTCCACAACTACAAAGCAATGAAAGACCAACCCGAACTCTGCAACTGGGGCCCCAGGCCCAGTTCCATTCTTGGCTATCGGATGAGGTCAGGTCCTCACAAAGCTGGTTCGCATGTACCCTCGCAATGTGAGGGGTGAAAGCGGTTTTGGGCGGTTTTGGGTAGATGTGTTTGAAGGTTTACTGGAGTTTCCTGGCGCCCTGTCCATTCCCTCGAAACCCAAAGAGTTTGGTGGAGCTTCACAGCACACTTGCAAGTGCAGTTCCACTGCCGCGCTCAAGAAGCGGTGTGTCATAGCCAGCATTCGGCGGGCTATGGCAGTAACTGCCTCCCCTGCCAGAGCTGTCCTCGGCCTGCCTCTGAGCATCGTGTGTGCCGCTCCTCATGCACGGACGTGCTCACGCGAAGGGCCGCGAAGGTACCCCTCTCAACTGCTGTGCGAAGGCTTCCTTGCAACTGCGGCATGCCATGTTGAAGGCCTTGCCATTTTTTAGGGGCTTGGAAGAGAAAATGCGTCCAAACCCTGCAAGAACTTCATGTCTGACAAAAACACTAAGACGAACCCGTGCGGCATTTTGACCTGGCTCAACGCACCGCTGTCCGGAAGGCTTGCGGGGTGCAAAGCAAAGGACCAAGGAAATCATTGGCATGGCTTAGCCAACATGTCTCAACCCAACCAGTCACGTATGGATGCGAGCCCGCGCCGTTTGGGCTCACAATAGCGCTGCTTATTGCCAACAACAGTGCCTGTTCTGGGAAGGCACGCATGGAATACATGTAGTTTGCCTGGATGTGTCCACTTGCGGGTTGACAATATGCTCAAAACCATCTGAAATGCCAATTGCCTGCCAAAGCTGCGGCTCGACCACATCTTCCTCCTCACTGGCAGCTGAGGCGTGCTCCATCTCCTCCTGCAACGGAACCATGCGCAGCACAACGCCCAGCTGCAACATATGACTTGTTCAGCGCACGCCCCATCGGCCTCGGCAAATTATTATACATGACCCTCAGAAAATGACTTCGAAATCAGAAAGTCGAGAGCAGACTCGGCCAAAGCAAGGCCAAGCCTGGCGGACGTGTTGAAGTAAGGGAAATTCCACTTGCATGTTGGAGCAAAAGTGCGCAAGCACCACAAGTCACGATTGACTTTAAGGGTACCGTCTCCTCCCACATGTCCTCCAAGTCAGGACCACTCCTCAGTTGGCAGGGGTCCCAACAAACATACTGGCAGGGCTTCTGTGTGTGCGTATTCAGCTCCGACTTTCTCTCGCAATAGGGAGCGCAAAGAAGCACCCGACAAGGCCAACATGAGTTCTTTCAAACGCGCAGGCTGAACAACTTTTTCCAAACCAACGGACTAGTCGGCATACCCGGCAAAGGGCTTGAGACTTGATTGCAAACTTGCACAGAACTTGATCCGCTGCAGGTGGCTCGCACATCCAGAGCCAACGAATAAATCACCAGCCATCTCAACCTGGAGTTCGCCCTTGGCCCTGCAACAAACCCCGACTGCTGACGCGGGACGGACACACCTGCCACTCCTCCGCATCGACGAAGTCGTCGCTTTCCGCGCGTTCCTCGACTGACTCGTGCTCCGTGTCCGGGCAGCGCGCGCTCGCAGCGTGGCGGTGATTTCCGTGGCCATCTGCTTCCCCGGCACCGTGTTCGCTGGCAACTGGCTCCTTGAAGGCATGCACCGCCCATTTTTCAGGCTCGATACTTCTACCAACGTCATACGAATACATCTTGGCAGCACTTTGCGCAGTCGAGCTGCTGTTGGCGTGGGGAAGCCTTAGTAACCCAGATCAAAAGAAACTGACTTGCCAGTGCCCGAACGCCAAGCCAACGATTTGTCCAGTTTGCTCCGGGCTGTGCTGCAATGCCCTCCCAAAAAACATCGCGCGCGAGCGATTCCCCAGGTTGCACAATATTGCCAACAGCTGTGGCTCCAGGCTGCTGGCACAGGGTCAAGTGCGATCAACACCTCGTGCTGCCAAGTGACTGGCGATGGTCTGCGATAGGTCGCTCTGCCCTGCATCCGTGAATGTCACTCTTATGGAGCATCTGCTCTTCTCTCATGAAAGCATGATGAACGCCCACGAAAGCATTCAAATCGAAGTCAAGCCAACCACGAGTCAGGGCATAGATCCACCACATGCTTGCCGCCAAACATGTTGCACTAGCACCAACCCATTTCGGCTAACAGCAAGGGCCGTCCGCCCCTCCGCTTGGAAAAAGGGGCCTGGAGGGAGGGAGGGGAGGTGGGGAGGGAGCCCAAGTGAGCTCTTATTAAGCCCTTAGTACAGCCTGATCCCCCCCCCTCCAGATGCGAGAGGTGGCCAACGTGCCGCATGGCATATTGCAGCAAAGCCGCGGATCTTGTTGCCTTGGCCCGGCGGCGAAAAATCCAAATGAGGGTCAATTGTTCAAAATAGAGTTCTTTCGCCTTCCTTTCACGGCCAGTTTTCCTTTTGCGGGTAGTCTTGAAAAGCTTGCTTTCGAGCAATTGTTTCCTCTTGAGGATCAGTCGAGCCACTTGACGGTAAACTGTGAGAAGAGTCACCTTTGTTGGCTAGGCCCTACTTTGGACGCGTTCCTTTCGCGGATTTCATCGATGACACTCTGAATTCGTCGGTGCCTGTCACCAAATCTGCGGTTTGCCAAACGAAAGTGACGTGCCTGCCACTTAAAGGGCTGTAGCTCCACACCAAGTCATGACTGAGCACTAGGACCGGCTAGGAGCCGGTAGCACATTGAGACCCTCAATGCCTGCCAATGAAATCTGCGTTGGAAAACGCCTTGTTTCATTGAACAGGCGAGTAGCTCCCATACTCCATGAGGGCTGCGTAACTGCCAGCTCACCGTCTCGTTGGGCATTGACTGTTGTAATTAGCGCTGTGCTTGCACCGGCACGCTCTCGCATTTGCAAGGGAGGGTCGACGTCAGCCCGGCCTCGTCCAGACTTGCCATTGGGCGACTTGTCGTCTGGCAAAGGCTGCAATGGCGTCAAGGCCGGCCTGCGAGTCCCCTCTTAATGCATGGCTGGTCATGGGCACTGGGCATTGCGGCATGCCTAAGGTTGCGCCGAGAACATCCGCCCATGGCCTCCACATGCGTCTTGTTATTGCCCGCTCTTCGACGCGCATCATGTGCTGCACGCCCCAGCCTGCAACAAGGCCAGGAAAAAGACATGAAGTCGCCCCCTGAATCATCAGAAACTGGGTTTGGGCCTAGAGTGTGCACATGAGCGTCGGCCAACACAAAGTGCAACTGTCCAAGTCTGCCAAATCAGGAACTTGTAGAAACTTACCTAGCACTTCTCTCCCAGACTGGCCAACACAACGGCACCATCTCCTGGGCAGGAATCTTCGCCGAAGGTCTCTTGGTTCTTTTCGTCACATCGTGTTTCTTCTCCCTGGCTCGCTGATTGGTCGCTAGCTGCCACGGTGGCAGCAAATGCACAAAGTGAGTGGCATGTGATCTGTGCATAACCCATATCGTAAAGTCTCATTGGTTTTCCTAAAGGAACTATTTATTCCCTGCCTCGCGCCGTTCCATCTGCATCAGCAAGTACCTACACGAACACACAACCACACACACACACACCATACAATACGCCATCATCTTGCTTGGGGTTGAAGAATAGCATGTTGCGGCCAGCTTGGTACTTGAAGGTTTCAAGGTTCTCAGTGCCAGTTTCTAGCACCTTCTTTCAATTCATGTGCACCACTGGGACGTTGGCCAACGCCTCTCCCCCAAAATCGCACTCTGAGGCAGGGGCTCATCAGTACTGCACGCCATGGGCCCGTCACCAGGCTCTCCCGGCAGCCTCGGAGACTCATTTCAAGCTGCTTGTCAAGCTGTCCATGGGGTTTCTCAGGGACCTTTTCGGATGGTGAAGGGACCCCCCCAACAAACAACCTCCTACCATTTTCAGAAACACCCATATGTCCCATTGCCAAGAATGCAGGCATCGGCCGCATACTATATTGCAGATGTCAGCGGTTTGCCCAGCCCAATGAACACAAGCACTGTCACCAGATGCCACGAGCAACAACACGTGGACACGACACCTCGCCGCCGGACATAAATACATGCGAATTAAGCCTTTGAGGAGGCAAGGTGAGCAAGGTAATGTCACGATCGACGAACTGCTTGAGCATCGAGCCGATGGATCCCGAGCCTCACCCCTTGGGACCCAAACATGTTCATCAGAACCACGCATCTTCATGAACATAGGTGTCCTTTTTGGAAAATAGATGGCCCTGGTAGATGATTGAACCACCAGGCCTAGGTAAACCAGGGCCTTCTATTTTGTAAGCAAAATAACCGAAAAAGGACACCTATGTTCATGAAACTATGCTCACACATGGTCAAAGCAACCCGGCAGCCTATCTTCAGCCAAGCAGCACTTGCGCCCAAAGGTCAGGAGACCATTTCTCTTCAAGCCTCCGCTGGGGCTGGTGGCATTCGTGTGCCATTGGTTCCCGCCGGCACAAGCCTAAGTTTTACTAAGTGTTCGGTAGGATTGGGGCGAACTTGGGCTTCATTTGCTTTTGGCTTGCTTTGGCCTTATTGCTTAACTGCCTTTTCAGAGACGCTGGCATTCGGCATAGGCCTTGGGGCTTTCCAAGGCTGAAGATCAACCCAATATAGCTGAAATGGGAGCATTAGTTTACTTACTTGGTTAAGGTTCGGGGCGTCACGCTTTCTGTCTCAGTTGGCTTGGGAAAGCTTGTGGACGCCTTCATGGTGGTATGGGATGGTATGGAATTGAGGGTTTGTTCTTTGTGGTCATTGCAAGGCGGTTTCAGTGAAAGCCGAATTGTCTGGTGACGGCAGGCATGTGGGTATGTATCTCAGTGTCAAGACGGTTTGGCGAGAGCTGACTTGCATTGCCTGTCATCACTTTTTCTAGGTGCCTACTTTGTCAATTGCTTACCTTTCCTCACCACCGCTACGGTAAGGTCCACTTCCCTGCTTATTCCCACAAACCATATCAGAAAGCCCCAGGCTGTGCTAACAGCCTCTGACAAGGTAAGCCGCCCTAGGCACTAGGCGTTGGGGCCAACAAGTGTTGAATGACGGACGAAGGCGTGTACATCTCTTGTTTGTTGCGTGGGTGACCGGTAGCCAATGGCGTGGCGACAAGCCACAGCAGGTCAAATGCAAACTTGTGCCCCTGAAGCAGGGCGTCACTTCTGTTGGCGCGGCTGTCAATCACCCAACGCGCCAAGCTGTTGCCAGACGAGCTGGCACTATGAAACGTACAACATGCCGCAGTCTGGCGCCCGCATGCCCGCGCCGCCTCCCGCCCTTCCGCGTCTCAGCGCGGCTCAGCGCAGCGTCCTCTCCAGTGGCGGCGGGCAACGCTTGTAACCTCACTGGGAGTTGGCATCCTAGCCTACGCTATCCCCTGCGGCGTTGGGACATGCTACAATGCTATATGAATGTTCCAAGGTTTCTATCAAATGCGCCGCGGCCAAGCCGCCATAGAGCCGGAATCACATGAGTCACAATCAAAACCTGATACACAAAATCTTGAACCCAGAACCGTACATAGACATGGCTGGCAAAGCCCCAGCTGACTCCTCAAGCGGGCGGCGGCTGAGGGCCTCCTCCCGGCGCGTCAGTGCTGCAGGCCCTTCACTTCGGCTACCTGGCAGGGCCGGCGCAAAATGCCGCGACAGGCGTCACCAAAGCAAAATCCCCACTTAGGTGTTCAAAACCCCTTCTTGAAGGGTGGTTCTGCATCTTTATACCCAGCGCTGCGCCACCACCACTGGTACCACTACTGCTACTGCTAATGCATGGGATAGGAATGACACAATGATAGTAACAGTAACAATGATGCAGCGCGCCAACCTGCTTGAAGCGCTTCATTCTTACCGTAGCATTCAAGAGTCAGGCTCTGCAGATTGCTTGAAAGCGCATTGCCAGAGTACTGGGGCCTGTAAATATTGTGAAGTGGCTTCATAGCGCCGAGCAGGTCCCATCTACTTGAGAGGGGACGACACGCGAAAGCCGTGCAAGGGCGATGCTGGTCACTTTGAGGGCTTGACAGGGGAGGAACCTCGTGCGAGGAAAGAACAGCAGCCAAAGCTTGTCCTCCGGAAAGCGATTTCAATGAACAATGCACGACACACATGGCAGAGTGCAAGCAGAGCGCATAGGTTTGTTTCAGAGCGGGGGCCAGAGTGGAGAAAAGAGCGGAGCAAAGGGCGGAGAGAAGTCGGCAGAAGAGCGGGAGCGTAGTGCAGCGAAGATTGTTAAGAAAACTGCACAGCGAACAGTGGTCAGAAGAGCGGAGTGAAGAGTTGGAAAGAAGAGCGGGAAGCAGAGTGCAAAGCGGAGCGAAGAGTCATCTTCTGAAGCCAGCTTTTTGGACCGCAGGGAGCGCGCAAAACTTATACATCACAGTGAGTTGTGGGATTCACTGGCCCAACCACTTTTTAAAGCAGGAGATACGCCACTGTTACGGTTCTGGTGGTGCCGACAGGTCAAAATTGAGCAGCCTGGATTCCCGGCGCAGCTGCACCGTGAATCCCACTCCCAGGTCTCAAAATGCTCAAGCATTTTCAAGTGCGCCGAAAGGGTGATTTTTAAACCATATTTGAACCGTATTTTTAAGTATATTTTTAAATTTCAGGATTTTTAAGCCATATTTTGCCCCACCCAGTTCCGCCGAGGCGCGCTTAGCCGAACTCCGGCTGGAGGACGGCGTCGCCGGCTGCAGCGCCTTCTCCACCAGCGCCTTGGCCCAGCGCCCCACCCGCTCCTCGCGCTTGGCGCGGCTGGCCGCGCGCTTGGCGCGGATCTGCTCTTCCAGCTCCTCCGGAGAAATGGGCACCACCTCGGAGCTGGACATGGCCCAGAGCTTTGGACTTTAAACGGCAAAAAACGCCTTGAGACCATGGAAGCTTGATTATTTTCGAAGTTTGTTCTAGGACGCGAAAGTACAAAGCACTTGCCCCTTTGTTACATGGCTGTGGTTGTCAAAACCATTTGAGAACTTACTTTTGTGGTTGGATTTGGATGTTCACTGGGGGTACGGGATTTTGCCCATGGTCTCATGGGCAGACGTGCAACCAAAAAAAAACGCCTTCAAGCATCAACCAATGGCCCTGTGAGTGCCTGCCTCAGATTGTACGCCACAAGTCTGCATGCATACGGCACGAAACATTTCAGGTATCTGGACATGAACAAATGCCTCTTGCCAGTGTGGCTAAGACCACTCAGCCAGTTCATTGTCCGACCAGCTTTCAGAGGGCCAGGCTCAACCGCCCTTGAATGGCCTCCTAAGTGCCATGGCTGCCACGGCCATGGGATGAGTCAACCCCTGGTTGGCTGATCCAAGGCCACAAAAACATCACTTTCCACACCCTGAGATAAGCTTACACGCAAACACACACACGCAAACACACACACACACACACACACACACACACACACACACACACACACACACACACACACACACACACACACACACACACACACACACACACACACACACGCACGCACGCACGCACGCACGCACGCACGCACGCACACACGCACGCACGCACGCACGCACGCACGCACGCACGCACGCGCACGCACGCACGCACGCACGCACGCACACGCACACGCACACGCACACGCACACGCACGCACGCACACGCACACGCACACGCACACGCACACGCACACGCACACGCACACACACACGCACACGCACACGCACGCACGCACGCACGCACGCACGCACGCACGCACGCACGCACGCACGCACGCACGCACGCACGCACGCACGCACGCACGCACGCACGCACGCACGCACGCACGCACGCACGCACGCACGCACGCACGCACGCACGCACGCACGCACGCACGCACGCACGCACGCACGCACGCACGCACGCACGCACGCACGCACGCACGCACGCACGCACGCACGCACGCACGCACGCACGCACGCACGCACGCACGCACGCACGCACGCACGCACGCACGCACGCACGCACGCACGCACGCACGCACGCACGCACGCACCCACCCACACACAACACACACACACACACACACACACACACACACACACACACACACACACACACACACACACACACACACGCACGCACGCACGCACGCACGCACGCACGCACGCACGCACGCACGCACATGCACATGCCAGATTCCCTAATATGTAACATATGTATTTACATTTAGGCGTATATATATATATATATAAATATGTAAATACATATGCATGTTGCTTCCTCCACTTTGCGTGACCAAGCGCCACGCCCCAATCCCCGCATGTTTTCTTCACCCAGCCGCCCCCGTTCCGGTCGTCTCAGCCGAGCGGCGTGGCGGCTCCCGGCGGCCTCCCCGATCTCCGCGAGGCCCTCGAAGCGGCTCCAGCGAACCCGGTGCCCGGGCAGCTCCGCGGCGGCGGCGGCGGCGGCGGCGGCGGCCGGGGTAAAGCCGCCGCCCTTGTCCCCTGGGATGGTCGCACCCAAATGGGCGGTGAATTCACCTACCCCAAAATGGGATCCCTTTGGTTTTGACCCACAGCCATATGGCAGTTGATCAATATTCCTGTTTCCGGAAAACGCAATCTTCGAGAGAAAAAAAGTTTCTTTCGCGAATCTTTCGCGACTCCATCGCCACGCCCTTTTGCTTGCAGCGTGCGCTCTGGAGCCATTGTGGCTGCTGCAGTTATGCTTGCAAACACGGTAGCCGCAGTTCACTTGCGTGCAGTACGTAGTGTCAAGTGCAGGCAGTCACCATCATTCGCCCTTGCCACTTGCGCTTGCCGGCGATGTACGGAACCTGGCAACAAGCTCCCTGGCCTTTCGCCCAACGTTATTGATTTGCACCAATCCCAACACAGGCAGGGAATCAATAATGCAAGTGTAGGTGCTGCGTATCTCCCTATCTATAAGGGAGCGGCGTCTGCAAATATGTAAGTGCACAGGCATGCCTCGAAGAATCCAACGCGGAATCTTTCGCGAAAAAATAAGTTTCTTTCGCGAACTCCATCGCCGATCTTTCGCGGAGGGATTTAAGCCAAGACGAATGGTCACCGAATACATAACTCCTTGCAGGGACCTTTTGATCAACCCCCATATGTTCACGAAGCCTTAACACCAATTGAGTCATAATCTATCTCTCTCTCTCGCGTGCCATCGGAATCCATGGAGTCAGAATCAAAACCCGGTAGTAAAATGGTCGTTCCCCAGAACCATGTAAAGGATTTAGAAGGCGGATATCCGCAGCTATGGTTGGGATTGGCCCTTACTAACCTTCATCTACCCTGGAATCCGGTCAAACGAGGAGGCCGGCGCAAGGGGGGAGCGATGGGTTGGTTTGGGCCCAGGCCAGCTCACAAGAACCCAGCCGCAAGCAATGATTATTTTCTGAATGCGCTGGATGCATTTGACCAAGTCGGGAAAATCCATTTGCGGCATATTAGCTACGTGCGGCGGGTTCTACTTGTAAAATTGCTTCAGCAAAATGGCCCCGTCACAGTTTGCAGCAATTACCCAACGAAGCGAAACCTCTAATAGCTAGCTAGCGTGCGCCGTGGGCATGTCGTCTCAAAACAGGCATCCTGCTTAGAGTTGCGGTGTAGAATTTCCACCTGGGAACTGAGTTTCGACCTGCGGAAGGCCTGAACGGGCTCACTGTAAGCAGGTTGAGGCCTCCCAAGCAACCTTGACACATTCATTCATGGTGTTCTGCTGCCCTTTTTCAGGTATGAGACCGTGAAGGCCACCCTCCCTCACTTCAGGCCGCACAACATCTTCGGACACTCAGACACAACTCATGCATAAATAAGCCAAGCCTCCTGTCGCTTGCCTGGCCCATCTGCTCTTCTTGGAAGCTGCACCTTCTGATTCAGCTTCGGTGGGCGCTTTCTCCTGGGCCCCAAGAGACACGGAAGCCTTGTGGCAGGACAAGCCCACGATGCCCCACTCGTTTTGGAAGTCCAAATGCTGGACCTCCAGGTTCACAATCTGGGTGCCGATGCGCAAGCTGTCCAGGAGCCCCGCGCGCCGCGCGTGGTTGGCGTCCAGGAAGGCTCGGCAGGAGCGGCCGATATCCACAAAAACGGTGCGGTGGGTGATGCGCTGGACGGCTCCGGCCACCTGGGTGCCGATGCCGAGGCCCAGCGTGGCGCTCAGCACGTCTCTTTCCCACTTGGTGCTTCTCCCCTGTTGAGGGTCGCCGCGCCCCAGCAGCTCCACCAGAAACGACGCATCGGCCTTGGCATGGTCCGGCACATCGGCCTGCGCGAAGACCACCATGCAATCCTCTGGAGCACCAGGGCCCTGCACCATCGGCAGGATGGTCTCGTGGATCACTTGATCCCCATAGCGGCCAATGGCCTTCTGCTTGGTGCCGAATAAACGCAAATATGCCGCGTTGCACGTGCGGACCAGGCTGGGCCAGCCGTCCTCGAGGTCCCCGCACCAGCCATCCGAATTCTTGATGTTTATCCAAGCCATGCAGAAGCCCCACCTGCGTAGCAGGCTGATGACGTCATCCCGGTACTGCTCATACCAGGAACTGTGCCGGAACTCGAAAATGTGCAAAACCTGAGTCCGAGCGCATTGCGAGCAGCAGATAAAGCCATGCCTCAAAAGGCCGTGTCTCAAGTGATGACATCTGAAAATATTAGACAAGGGCGCTTGGGAGAGGCAAAGTGAGGAATACGCGCAACCACCAAACGGGCGTGGTCTCAAAATGCCCAGCTCCCGGCATTTCTGGGCAAGTGCGCCGCTAACCTGATGGCACACTAGTGGCAGCTCAAAGACACACACCCTACATCTTCCCTAGGGTTCAACCCCCATTAAAAGAAAGGTTGACCAAATTTGGATGATACAATCCTTAGGCAAAGAATGGTGGTTATATGAGCCCCCATTGTTTTTATGGTGGTTTGAATCGCAGGGTCTTTGCATGTTGCACGTTCTTTGCTCCTTGTTGCAAGGTTTGCGCATGCGCAGGTTTTAAGCAAGCTCGGGCGCCGGCTCTTCGAGTTCAGCGAGGCTTTGCCGTGAACATCCTGGGAGATGTCAACGCGGTGGTCAAGCGCCAAATTCTACTCTCTTCACTTGGCACACCCATGGTTTCCAGCCACGTTTATTTGGACAATGCTTGGGGTAGCTCTCGAGCTAGCCGCAAAAAAAAAGCCCAAGCCGTTGCCACTCGCGCAGAAAAGAAAGACGCAAACTCTGCCATGCGTGTGGCAAGCACCGGCGCATGACCAAGGCGCTGTGTGACGGCGCGAGCTGCCACAGAAGGCCACCCAAAACTCCGGCCTTTCGGGCTTCAGGGCTCGAGCACATCAAATCCCTGCACCATGGCCTCTGAAGCGCATCTTACATACGGCCTTAACATTGTGCCCACGTCCACACGCGGCAAAGCGGGCAAAAGCCATGCTGCTCTGCTTGGATTCGCCGCACAGCAGCTTTATGGCCCACCGCCGTATCGCCATGCCCCCCCCCCCACAAAAGCACACACACAAAAAACATGACGGGGCGTGGCGCTGGCGCATTCCTTGCCTTCTGGAGCTCGCTGTACTTCGCCCACAGCTGCGGCCACCACTGCCCAGGACCTCACACTCAACTTCAGAAAAAAGCCCTTGGCCCGCTCGAGCGGGCCGCCCTTTGGGGCGGTGACCATCTCATGTGTCATTTCTCACATATCGCCCAGGTTAACGAATCAGCTTCCCAAATAACCCTGGACCTTCATTCGTTACAGAAATGCGTGTCTGTTGGGTGTTTCGTAGCAGAAACATGTTAATTCATCGCACTTGTTTTTTCTTCGGGGGAACAGGCGCAAATTTGGATTCGAGCAATTTTGGCACTTACGGCGGTTTCACTCTTCTCGTGTAGTCTATTGCGTGGAAACATGCGGAAACATACCCATGAAACGGGCGCAAATCCGAATCATGTAACAATTGGTCTTCTGCAAGAAGCCCGTGTTCACGAAACGAGCGTCTTTTGGGAACGAGCACTGCTTGGATCATTGGGCGAAAATAGTGTTCGTCCGCCAGAAGGGTGGCTTGGAGGGGTTCTCTCGGGTGAACTGCCAGCGGCAGAGGCGAGCATGCGGTCACACGCTAGGTGCACGGAATGCTAATGGAGCAAACACAATTACGGGAAACAAAGGTACCATCATTGTAGGAATCACAACCCTATGGGTTCAACCCCCATCAAAAAAAGGTTGACCAAACTTGAGGAGCGGGTGAACGAAAGCTAGCAGTTGTTGCATGAGATGGGTCGGTGACAGAGTGGATTCAGAGGTAGCTTGTGTACAACGAGAGGCCCGGCAAGATTCGTAGGATGCGACACGCAAACGCACATGGTAGCGTGGCAAACCTTGAAAAATGAAAACAACGAGAGGCGTCAGAAGCTGTCTTAAAGCACCTCTGGGTTCTGCATGCTGCGTGTGCAAAGATTCTTGCGAGGTGGTTTACTGAGAAGACTGAGGTCTCAAATGAACAAGCTGAATCGGTGGAACATGTAAAAGTTCATAACACCAAGTCCAAAACGGGCAAACCGAGACTGCTGAAACACTGAGCCACTGCCCGGGGGGAGGGGTGGACCAAGGAGGAATCGAGCCTGAGACGGGGGGGGGGGAGGGGGGGGGGGGTCTAAATAATTGATTTTTTTCAATCTTTTCGGCTCAAATAATTGAAAAAATCAATCTTTCGGCAATTGAGCCCCTTACCTTGCTTACGCAAGGAGAAACTTCAGCTAGCTAAAGCTAGTTTTCGTGATTTGGATGATGACAATCCTTAGGCAACCAATGGTGCTTATATGAGCGCCCATTGTTTCAATGGTGGATTGAATCCCAGGGACCACATTTTAACCTTCGCGACTTCGTACATGATTGGCGCCCAAACACATTCGCCAGTTTTCTTCCTGGCTCGGGGGCTTGCCTATTGCTGCCTCAGGGCGGTGCTGCGAAGGCGCTTCTCGTGCGTAGCCGCCCCTGAGACCTGACGCTTGGCTCATCTCGGTGCTGTGAGTCCTTTGGGAACAGGTGCGAGATACCTCCGTGGGGGCTCATATAACCACCATTGCTTGCCTATAAGGATTGTCATCATCCAAATTTGGTCAGCCTTTCTTTTAACGGGGGTTGAACCCTACTTGGCACCCCAAACAGTCAAAACCAGGTTCCTGCCGCATAGTTTGTCCTTCCTGCAACTCGCTGCTGCATCGGATTGCTCTTTGACTGGGGCCTTGCAGCTTGCAATGTGGCCGCTTGACTATTTGATTTGGGAAAGCTTGCAGCTATAAGTTTGCAACCCGGAAAGCTGCAACATAGCATAACTCTCTCTACAAGCAACTGGCGCTGCAACTCTCTTAGAGAGGAAGACAGCCGTGCACCAGCCCTCACAATCGCTGGGCACCCAGTTGAAGCTGCTGTGAGAATGTGTGTCCAGGCGACTGCTCGTCTGGAAAGAGCCGGCGGGCACGTTAACATACTCAAGCACCTTGCTTCGGCAGCATTCCAACTTTGCAAAAGGTGACGGCCCCATCTTGTTCAATTAAACAGCGAAACACCGTGCCGAAGCAAACGCCAGTGCAAATGCCCAAGCATCTGAATAATTTCAGCGCAAGTTGTACCACGCTGAACTGTTCGATTGAGGTAACATCCAAGCGGTTGGTTGAAGCTATTTAGCACATCTAGCACTTCCGAAGGCCTCACGCTTTCGCGGTCTGGATCTTACAGGCTACAACGATGAATCCCTCGGCGTTGTGTTCTTGTTCCCCCCTCTGTGCCTGCGGAGCTTGCAAAGTTGACGTCCCATCCTTCACATGTTGCACGTTCTTAAAGCCGTGTCTTCAATAGAGGAACCTCACATGACCTGTCTTCCGTGCGGATGAAACCGGACCGTATGCCCAAGAAAAGGCTACGTCACGGCCTGCAAAGGGCGATGAACAACCGCAGCGGCTCGCACGCCAGACTTCCGCATTCCGCAGGAAATGAGCGAGGTGAGGGGCTGTTGCTTGCCACTGGAAGACTGCAACGTCCGACCTTTGGCAGGTCCGTGCAATGGAAACAAATGGCAGGGGCTCAAAACACTGGTGCCAAAATGGGAGCCCTGCGTGGAAACGTGGATCAAAACCTGCGTAACCCTGCTTGATTCTGAGCCAAACCAACCACAGGTCAGAGCTTAAACCTCGAAACCTCCCAGCCACGAAAATCGCTCACTGCCGGCCACGGGACCTAGGACTCGATCCGTGGCGTGCGAGCCGGTCCACGCTTCAAGCGAAAGACAAATCCCACAGGATCGATCTCCGTGGAACTCAGCGGACTTTGCAAAGGATGCCCACGCAAGCCTTGAGAAAATTGAGAAAGGCTAGGCCATATCACCAAAATATGTTGAGGAGTGCGGCCAAGCGGACATGAGAAATTTAACGAGGCCCCTGGTGTTGGTAAAGTTTTGGGACGCAATGCATCCCAAATGGAGCACTGGCAATTCGTGCCATTGGTGCATGCTGCAAAATGGCGTGGGGTGCCGGAAGTTGATGGTCAGGACCCTTCTAGTTGGGAAAACGAATTAGCGGGGATACGGGGGAAGCGGAAATATGCGAGGACTCCTGTGTAAAGGAAACCATGTCTAAGTATTCCCTGAAACATATGCCATCCCTGCTTCCCCAGCATCCAACTGCTTGTTTGTTTGTCTGACCTAGCCAATGCCAAAGAATCACAACACCCAGGGAAACCATCAAACACCCAGGGAAACAGCTGGTTTTGAAAAGAACAATGGTTGAAAAGAATGGAAAAGGAATCAACCTCTAGAATGGTCAGGACCCTCCTGGCCAATGCCAAAGCTGCCAGCCTTGTGGCGATCAGTCCAAGGCGCTGGTCGCCACCCTGAAGACCAAAAGGGTCCTGAAATGCTGCGCAGATCCACAAGGGCCTGGGGGTCTCACATGGGTGGGTCAAAAATAGGCTAACCCCAAAAGGGAGCCCTGGGAAATGGAAACAAAGGGCCACCCGCAGTTTTGTGGTAGACCCATACCCAAATGAAAGGAACATGTTCCAGAAACCTCCCGGGGCCTCCTCCCCAAGGGAGAACAAAACCTATGCATTTCCCAAGTACTGGGTGCAAAGGCAAGCTGACATTCATACCAGGGATATCTTGTACCACTCAGCCCATGGACCTAGAAATGGCCCCAAGTTTAGCTATGCAGGGCAAGCAACGCTGTTTCTCGAATGGCTCGGGCTGTCCTGCGCCTGGTCAGCTGTCAGGTTCTGCATGGCGACCTGAGTACAGATCTGAGAACCACATTGGCAATCGACAGCCGCTTGCCTCCGCAGCACGTCCGAGCGAGCTGGAAATTGCAAGGCGTGCCATGAAGACTTGTCCCCCCCTTCTGCAGGCAAGCTGCCCTATCGGCCAAGGACACTTTGGCAGGTCCGCTCCCACGACCTGGACAACTGCAAAATAGTCAGCGGGCCGTCTGAAGTTGAGGAAAGCATGAAAAATGTTTAGAATTTAGAATACCCACATGGCTGCAAACTCGCGGATCAGGCATGTCTGCCTTCCATGAGGTTGCCCAAGCACAGCTTTCACGATGTGCGAGGATGTCAATTGCACACCTGCAGGTTCCATCCAGCTTGAGGCAAGTTGCGTGCTGCCGACAGCCGTGTGGTTGACACGCTTCGGGTGCGCCCCTGGGCACGCTCAAGTCATGCTGCCGCGAATCACGAGAAGCAGTCCCTCCATTCACCTCCAACAAATATATCACCTGGCTTCAAAACCCTTACGTTTTAAGACACGCGATATTGCTGGCACTGTGAGGCCAGCCAAAGCACTAGCCAGCAACAGCAGGAGCAGTTGTTTGAATGACACTAAGGTCTGCGCTGGGCGTGGTGGCTTGGCTTCAGCTGCTGGAGTCGTCCCGGCAGCCTTAAAGGTTGCTACATAATGACGAGTCCAAATCGATCCATTCCCAGTCACCCGCATCTCGTTCAAAGATGCAGCTGAGCCGCGTATGCCCGCATAAAGCGCTGTGGTTGCGCCAGAATCTCCTTGGCCGTAAACAATCTGAAGCCAGTCGTGCCACAGCCCTCAACAGCTCGCAAACCTCAGGAGCCAAGGCTCCGCGGCTGCAGCGGCCACCTCTTTCTTGAAAATGTGCAGAGACTTGAAGAGCTGCCTCGAAATGCAGCTGGTGGCTGCTGCAATCAGAAGAACTAGAGACACTCAAGCCCCATCACTGCCACTCATACTTCCACTCGAATCCACTCGGAGTCTACCAACCAGTATGCTTCACTGGATTTATGAGTCATCGGCAAGATGTGCCCAAAGCCGCCGCTGCTCTAGCGTTCTACCTACTTGTCTCATCCTGCAACCATCCTGGAGTCGCAGCTGCCAACAGCTGAATGGAAAGGGCATGAAAACAATCATGGATTGCACCATTATGTTTGAAAGCAGGCCGCGCCCAACAACCGCTGCCCAGTGACAAGCCTGTCCAAATAAGCCTGCCGCACTGAATTCCACGCCAAAGAGAGCTTCGACACGGCACAAAAGGCAACTACCAGGCTCAAACTTCCCGTTGACATGACCGTGACCATGCTACCGACTTTCCGATCTTGTCTCAAAATCCAGCTCCGCAAGTTAAAATGCCACCCTTGAAGCTCTTTCCCCTACAAACCCCCGCGTCGGACGACGGAGTCGGACTTCGCCGCGGCGCTCGGCAGCGGCTTCCAGCGAGGGCGCCTCCCCCTCCGCGAAGAAGCGGAGCGTTTCGCTGAGACTTCCACGCAGCAGGCGCCAGGACTGCGCGGCGCAGCCCCAGCCGCAAGGAAAACGCGGCTGGGTTTCCGCTGACAACAGAAAGGCGCTTTTTGTTTCTTCTTCTTTTTTTCTGCCGCCATGTGTGGCAAGCCGCGAAAATGACCAAGAGTGACACGTGCTTGCGTTGGGTCTCCCCTGCTTGGTTTGCTTTTTGTCGCCAAAATGGCGCTAGGGCTTCCATCAGCAATGAGCAAGGGAAGGGGACTTGTTCGAGAAAGGAGGGCATCATCCCCTGTTGATTTGCAAATGGTGGAAGCATTTCTCACATCCCACCACCAGCTCTGACTTTCGTGATTGATTGGCTGGACGGTCGTCCCGAGGAACGCCGCGTCCTGCACTGCCATGATGGACCCTGCTGGAAACCCGCGATGCTGCGCCTCTTCAAGCCGTTGCCGCAAGGGCAGCATCTGCTCCTAGCACGGGGCAGGGCATGTGCAGTAAAGGCATTGACTTCCAGGCACCAACACAAAAGTACATTGAAAACAAAGGCGGAGTCTTTGATCTGCCCAGCTTTCAAACTGCACGCTTGAGGCGGCTGCTTCAGCAGTCTTGCCGACTGGCAAGCCTGAGGCAAAGCGGCCGGAATCCCAGTCCTGATGAATCGCCCGAAGGCGCGCCCGCACGTTCAAGGGATAGTCGCCCTCCGACTCTCGCAAGAGCCAGGCCTAGGATGGGCGGGGCAACTTAGAGGGCAAGGGCCGCCATCAGAAGTGCAAAGCTTGATCCAGGTCATGGTCTTGTTCGGGGCTCGAGCCGAACCAGAATGCTTTAAACACAACGCGCTATGTGCAACTTGAAGTGGCAAATCAACCGGCTGCCATACAAGCCACGCAAAGAGGCAAGTACGGGTATTATGCGGCAGTTGGGCATAGCTTATGTTGGGTGCACACTCAGACTCCTGGCCATTCAAAAGGCCGCGGTTTCCTCAGCCCACTCTCAACCCCCACAGGCCTCTTCAGTGGCGAAGTGCTTGACGGCCTGATCAAGGTCTGAAATGTCCTGGCAACATGTGTAAATTTGTATGTGATTGCAAGAAGCACGTACACATTAATGTGCTGTCCACGAGCTTGTTGTTGAAACTCAGACCCCGTATCTGCTGCATAGCACCCACTGCCTCAAGCATCGCAGGACACAAGGCCAAGGACCCATCCCCGGGTTCACACGGGCGAAAACCAACTCGGTTG